TCCCACAAGAGTGTCTCACAAGAGTGTCCCACAAGAGTGTCCTACAATAGTGTCTCACAAGAGTGTCCTACAAGAGTGTCCCACAATAGTGTCCCACAAGAGTGTCCTACAAGAGTGCCCTACAAGAATGTCCCACAAGAGTGTCTTCTAAGAGTGTCCTACAAGAGTGTCCCACAATAGTGTCTCAAAAGAGTGTCCCACAAGAGTGTCCTACAAGAGTGTCCCACAAGAGTGTCCCGCAAGAGTGTCCCAAATGAGTGTCCCACAGGAGTGTCCCACAAGAGTGTCGCGCAACAGTGTCCCGCAAGAGTGTCTCACAAGAGCGTCCCTTAAGAGTGTCCTGCAAGAGTGTCACGCAACAGTGTCCCACAAGAGTGTCCCACAAGAGTGTCCCACAAGAGTTTCCTACAAGAGTGTTTTAGAAGAGTGTCCCACAAGAGTGTCCCACAAGAGTGTCCCACAAGAGTGTCCCACAAGAGTGTCCCACAAGAGTGTCCCACAAGAGTGTCCCGCAACAGTGTCCCTTAAGAGTGTCCCACAAGAGTGTCCCGCAACAGTGTCCCACAAGAGTGTCCTACAAGAGCGTCCCACAAGAGCTTCCTACAAGAGTGTCCCACAAGAGTTTCCTACTAGAGTGTCCCACAAGAGTGTCCCGTAAGAGTGTCCCACAAGAGTTTCCTACAAGAGTGTCCCACAAGAGTGTCCTACAAGAGTGTCATTTGGACATATGTAGCTTTTCGAACGTGTTTGCATTCGGGTTCGTGGGCTCCATCTTGTTCCTTTTGTAGGGTTCCAAGTACCTTCTCAGAAGGTACTTGGACCCGCCAAACCTACATAACATTTAACAGTGTCTCCAATCACCTTCTGAGAAGGTACTTGGACCCCCTAGAGAGTGAAAGTGTTGCTTTCAAGTGGTGGTTCGTTTTCAGCAACGTTTGGCCTGACGTTAAGCCTAACTTTAGACTTGAGATTGTCTTTTGCAATCAGCCAATGGGAGCCTAAATATAGCTGTATAGTATAGCGGGACACTCCTTCTTCATTCAACCCATGCGATGGGTCATTCCCAACAGGAAAGGAGCCGCGAGGAACTCTACTAGCTAGAAACATCCTGTAGTGCGAGCGACATCAACCTCAGGAGTCCACATTGCCGTGCCGACCCTTCGGCGCACCACGCCGCGCGTGCCGAAGGGATGAAGCGCCGAGGCGTTTGCCTGCACCTCGTGCATCGCCACAGCAGCACCATGGATCCAGAGGTCTCCCGGATACTCCCTCAGGCGAGGAGCGAGCGGCGAAGCCCTTCCACAGGGCGAGCCTTTGGAGGGGTCCAGTGAGGGGAGTGGTTACGTCATGGAATTACCCTTTTCTGAAGAAGTGGATTGAAGAGCATTCTCTGTGAATTGTTGTCACCCTAAATCTGCGCCCATCTCCGAGATCATCTCCCCACCAAAAGGAAACACACATGTTTCTTCTGGAACCTAAGTAGGAGTGGAATCATCTCCACCTAACTGTTCATGGACCAAAAACAGAAGGTCTGGGTCTGACGATTAAATGTTCGAGTTTAAAAACCATCTAACACAAATGGCACATCACTATCCCCCAAAGTACATAAAACAACACATCCAAGAAGCACACAAAATGCAATGTTCAAGCAACCAAAACAAATCCAACTTTAAACCAGTGGTCACAAAGGGGGTGGTTTTTAGTAAGTGAGTGGATAATGGGCACCCCTATCTTCCAATAGGCACCCCTTTGTGACTGCTGGAAAGCATGTTTAATCAATGAACCGTCTCACCGTCTTCGTCTCACGGAAGGAGGAGCTGGAAGACTTGGAGGTGGCAGACTCCCAGGCCTTTCAGCACTTCATCTCTTCGCGACGCTCCTGGTGGTGCTGCGACGTCTGAGGAGACATATCCCGGTTTGGGGAAGAACCAAGAGAGGTGAAGTGACCTTAGGACCCGGTGGACCTGGGGTACCTATACCAGCACCCTCCAACAGGTCTCCTCTGGTAGCTTTTGGATACTTAAAAGTGTCAGGTGGTGACTTGTTGGAGGGTGCTGGTATAGGTTCCTCAACTTCCTCTGTTGGAAGGGCCGACTCCTAGGACCTCTTGATTCATAGCCCCCTGGACATGGATTGTAAGACCATGGTCTAGTCTAGACCGTTCATTTCGATTTTGTGAAGGGAGGCCTCTACAGTATAGGTTGCAACGACCGGATTCCCTGCAATACTTCTTGTAAGAAAGAGTTCTCATGAATCGTCATCCGAGTCTCCATTTTCAGATTGAACAAATTGATGAATGGACTGCCAAAGCAAAAGATGTCATGAGCTGAAAGTGATGTTCCTCAAATTTTCGGGACCGATTTGGACCGTGCAGTCTTCAAGATGTTCATGCTTGACCTGTTTCACCTGGGAGGTTCCGGATCAAACCCAGCAGTCAAAAGGTTGCTCCCGGGAAGAGGCCCGCATGGAACTTGATGGACCTGCAAGGAAGACGATGTTCCTCTACAACCCAACCGTGGTTCGGGCGACACGACCCGTCCGTCCGACCAAGTCCGGTTCCAAGACTCCTTAGGCCCTTAGGCTTCCCTTGGCCTTCCAATGACGCTTCCAAAAGAAAGGCCGATTATGGTTGATCTATAGTCTTAAATCCTGAGTGACCTGATGTCAATTTGGTGAAGACTCTAAACACATGACGCTTGGAATTTCTAGGGGGGACTGTGATATAGATCAACACCTGACAGGGTGGACCGCTCGGCTGCACGCTGTCCCCGCTAAAAACCGCCCAAACCTGTTCCAGGAGGCTCGGAGCAGCTCGGTCTCGGGTCCTTTGACCCCGGCTGCATCCCGTGGAAGATGCTGACGGGGCAGGTCCTCCGCCCATCTAAACGAAGTCGACCACTCTCGTGGTGACGACGGATCGAACTGCATCGATGCATGGCCGATGTGATGGAAAGTGATGCCAAGGAGTCGAAAGATGAGAGATGTGATCAGACATCGGTCGTCGTGAGGATCGGGTTGGTCGTTAAGGAGAACAACCTGCCGAAGGTGAGGGGATCAAGCGCAGCCTGCTCGAGGAAAAAGGGATCGAATTGCCTAGGGAGGGAAGGCGACGGCGCGATCGCAGGATGAATCATGTTGAACAACCAAAATGGGTGTGGCAGTTTCTGAGCGCCAAGCATTTAAAGTCATGTGGCCTGGTCGGCCATTCTCTTCCAGTCCCAATTGATTGGCTTTCAACTTTGTGGAAAACAGCTTCCCTATAGGTCCAGTCGTACCTGGTCTCAGGTTCGGTACGACTGGACCCTCCTGGCACCTACAATCACCGTACCTGAGAAGGTACGACTGGATCCCTACCTCTTCTGTTTTCTCCTCCCGATTCCTCCAGGGCCCCGCTCCTCCGCGCTCCGACCGCCTGAGCGGCACGAGACGACCAAGGTGGAGGGCTGGATTGGCAGAGCTGAATCCACCGTGCCTCGGGCAGGATGTTTTGTGAGTATTCCTAGCACTGACACAGTCTGGGTGCCCTGGAGTAGGAGGCCTGGTAGACGTAAGGTAGGGTAGTCGAACGCCAGGACACCCAGGTCCAGGATGACCCTGATTTGTGATGTTTCAGGATCTTTTTCATGGATGTTTTTTTCCCCAAAGTGAGGAGATATGGAGGATCTGTGAAGTTTGAGGGATGGAAGAATCATGGAAGAACGAGAGTGATCGATCAACCAAGACGATCAAGAGTCGACATGACTCAGACTCTGCTTATTGGAGTTTGTGAAACGAATGGGATCGTGAGGATATGTGAGGTGATCTTTGATCCCAGGATATCCCAAAAATCATGGGTGGATCTAGCTGTGTGGAAGGGAGAGCGTTAAAATGATATAAGTCACTGACATTGGAGGTTGCGAAAGGGAGACACTGTCAATGTGGGTCCATTTGGGGCATGATGTTTGATGAGGTTGGCGGGTAGCCCGCATCGGGTGGAGCACTTGCCGCTGCACCCACCCAGTGCTTCCATCTTCCAACATGTTTTTCAGACCACCATCGCTGGGTTCCAGCGCCGCGTGTAACCAAAGTTAGAACAGTAGAAGCTGTTGCCAGGTGTTGTCCCAACCTCTCAAACTTCGATGGTGGAGATTCTCCAACATCTCTTATAGTCCCAAGCAATTGATACCTATGGTAGACGTAGGGCCCGTAGGGTAGTGGGATGACCGTCCAGGACACCCAGGTCCAGGATGACCGGGATGACCCTGCCCAGACACTCCATGGGACTGCCAGCCATATATGCCGCCCCATTGACCCCTCTGGCACCACCCCTGGCCGTTTTGAAGGCAGTCCCATGGGTCGTGTCATGGGGTATAGACTCGTCCTTCACCCTCCAACCCGTCAAGGATTCCCCCCAGCGCCGCCGCCTACCTCTTCGACGGCGTCGATGGGCTCCGGGACGGGCGCATCACTCCGCCCGAGTCGGGGAAGCCCGGCCACGCCGCGCGTGTGACCGTCGCAGCGGTGGGGAGGGACCAGCTCCGAAGGCGTCGTTCAGCACCTTCAGGACCTCGGGGTCACCCTCGCCCCAGCCCACCACGATCAGGGACCTTGATTGGACACCCCTTGGATGGATCCAGGTAGGTGGTTTCGTTTATGAAACACCTTTTCGGAGATGGTGTGGCATGGTGTGGCTCATAAAATCTTATAGGGCGTGTTCCACTATAGCAGCTGTATGGTGGCAGCCGGTTGTCTTCATTGAAGCATATGGAGACTGAATTACTCACGGGACGGCGCCCAAAAGGCATCCAGCACCATGCAGAGGCTCAGGTGCTGCACCGGTCGATGCTTCTGGACGAAGACAGTGGTTGCAATGTATAGACTCTTGGTTCATCAACACCCCCCAGACACGGATGGTATAACCTCTTCACCTGGGGGGGGTTCAAATATTATGAAATCAACTCAAGGGAGGAACTGAGGAGGACGGGAACTGTTCGTGTCTGATCCACCTGTTTTTCATCCACCGCGGCGCGCCCTACGCCGGTCCAGCGCCGCGAGGCTTCATGGAACCTTGACCATCGGCAAGCTCTTCCAGTCGCCGGAGGTCGATCTGAGCGAAAGCGGGTTCAGCGTGGAGGGTTCCATTGAATTTATTTTTTCCGGATGTTTGTGTTTTTTTTGTTCATCTGTTTTTGGTTCAATAGCGTTTGTTGTTTCGGACTTTGTTGTTAGGAATTTTCATGAAGGTTGTACTTGTTTTGTGTGGAGTCCTCTTCTTGCATGATACCTTTCGAAAGGAGTACTGTACTTGAGTCACTTAAAATCAAAACTCGTGTCTTGTGTGCAATGTTATAATGTTGTTTTCCAGGTTTCGCCCCGTATGTTCAAAGAACCATGTCCATTCTGCAGAACCTGCAGGATGCCTGGAAGATCTTCCTAAATTGTGAGATTGCTTTTCATGTATCACATGATGCTTTGTGATCCGATTCGGTTGCGATTCGAAGGCGCCCCCTGACTCGCGTAGGGCTGTCCATTTGGACAGAATCTAGCACAAAGAAACACATACCAGCACCCCCAAGGGGTGGTTAATGGACACCACTTAACAGCTAAGGGGCTATTAATAGACACCGCGCTTGGAGGGTCCTATACTGTATATATTGTAAAATATTGGACTAGAGCGACGCCCAACCAATGGCATGCTCCTTCGAACCACCCCGGAAGTCAAAGCTACACAGACACCATTTGCGTTTGAGACGACAAGAACTCGAAGGACAACTTAGCAGCTCCTATTTGTAGACATGCGGCATGCGTTAGAAATGCTGGAAATGCCTTTGGGTCCTATAAGCTGTACTTGCATCACTGGAGGTTTATGTTTAGGACGGCCAATTGCTGGGTTGCTTGGTGGGTTCATGTGGCTTGTTGGCGTTGCAGAAGAATGCAGCAGTGCTGAGAGGTTGGACTGGACATCTCAGAAACCCTCTCGGACAGGGTTGGATGGGAGCATGTTTTAACAGTAGACTATCCGGAACTCGGGGTGCCCGGCAGGTGTGTCGCCCACTATGTTCCACTCAGGTTAGTAACAAAACTGGCAGGTGGTGACCTGTTGGAGAGTGGTAAATATACAGATCCGATTTGGCTTTGTAGTGCAACATCCGGAAAAAAAACGGTTGTTCAGGATTCAGGCTATTTTAAACAATGGTGGGTTCGACTTGGGGCCCGAGAAGGGCATCGCTGAAGGGGTAGCGGATGCTGTCCGATTCGCTCCCCTTACAACGGAGCCCGCGCCCATGGCGGTGAGGCCTTGAGAAAGGCGGTGCATTGGAACAAGGCGGCCATGGAGCATCACAAGAAGGCACCAGCATGCGATTTGTCTTGCATGGAACAAGGCAACACAAACTGATGTGGTGAAGTTGGACTGTTCATGAATATACAACATCAATCAACATCATATATACTTACAGAGGAGATTAGGGTTTAGGGGTTTTGCACTCGGGGTTCTTCCTCCACATCCTCTTTCTTTTTTTCAACCCACCTGCACGGCTCAGTGTGTTCAACGGTCGACACCGTCGAGGTCGCAGGAGTTCGACGAAAGGTCGCTGCGAGAGTCGTTCGCCTCGGGCGAGGCCGTGATTTCCCAGACATGACCTGTCTGGGCGTCGCATATTTACATTAAGGGTGGTGGATCTGGGGGCCAATGGAGGTACATATCGATGCGATGGCTGCCATGCACGAGTGTTTGGGTTTGGATCATGCCATGTGTTCCATGCACGAGTGTTTGGGTTTGGATCATGCCATGTGTTGCCCCAAGCCGGGAGCACCGCGAGGTTTCCAGCTGGATCCATGATGCCAAGTGCGGAACCCCACACTTCACTGGATGCACTCGAGGCTCGTCGAACCGGAGATGAAAGCGGAAGAAGAGCTGCACTACAATGCAGTTCATGTAGGTGGTTGCTTCTATTTCAATCCCCTCATATGAAGAGGTCTTACCATATTACGTAATGAGGTTTTTCTAATCATCATCAGCCTACATTACTGGTCACGTGAGTGGTCCTTCCGTGCACTCCTGCTCGGTGCTCGGTCAGGGTGTCAGGGTGGTATCCATCTTTCCTGGCTAAACAGGTCGCCGGAAGCTCCAGGAAGATCCGGCCCTGATCGGCTTATCGAAAGGGCCGGCTGGGACCTTTCGTTTGCCCTTCATCCAGTTTTGGTGATGCCAAGTGCGCCAGATGGCAAAGCAACGCATTGCGGCTTTCCATGTTTCCAAAAACGACGCAATGCGTTGGGTGCTATCAACCCCCTCCTCCAGCCTGCCTCCTTTGTCCGGTCCTCACTTAAGGTCCCACCTCCACCCTCCAACTTGGACCTTCATCCTTCGTACACGTCGCTTGCTTCCTTCGTGCTTGCGCTGCGTGACTGCGTGGCTGCGTTGGCCGAAGGGCCCAGGAGCCCGCCCGTCCTGGCGTTCCTGGGGGTGGTCATGTGGAACGCTGCAACTCGACTGGCTCAAGCTGTGGCAGCAGAAGCCTGAGGGTGACAGGATTGGGAAGCTGAATGGATGTTGCACCTTCCGGGACCTGACGGAAGTACCCTAGAAGTCGAACCACCATTGTTTTCACTAAGGGTTTTACACTACAAACACCAGATCAACCATTTTAAAAATGGTCGACTTGACTTCCAGGGTATAGTTATATATATATATAGGCTTGATGCAATCACATGTGTGCGCTTGAGTGTCCAAAGACGAAAGCTTGGACCAACGACAGGTCAATGTATATAGGGTATGAGCATCATTGTGCCAGAGTGATTGTAGGTGGGGTGATTCTACCACAGCCATGGCGATGAGATTGTCAGCTTTGCAGATCAATGGTGAAGTGATTTCGCTGGAAGTTCGACCGGAGATGACGGGTAGAGAGCTGAAGCAGCAGATCAAAGAAGTTCACTTGTTGGACGAGGTTGCTCGCACATTTACTGGGGTGGATATTGTTGTTGGAGACCGCTTGCTGGGAAATGATGAGACAGTGGCAGATGCAGGACTTACTACAGATGATGTTGTGAGCATGGCTTTCAAACAAAACATGGTGAAAGGCTGCAA